TAACTGTAGAAGACATAAAGGTTGTAACACAACTTTATTCAAAAACCATTATGGTTAATTTGTAGAAGACACTTGATGTCTATCTAGATATTATATATCAATAAAGATTACATGCCGTGCGCACGTTCCACTATAAAAAAAAAAATAAAAAAATAAAATAATCTATAAACTAGTTATAAGTAAAAGTAATTTTATAGTATTCATGGATTTATATTTAAATTTGTATTTGATTTTAATAAGTTTTTACTGAGTTATACATATTGAGAAAAATTCCAAATAATTTTGAATACCCCTGTATATTTATACTATTGTTGATCTTTTGAAGGAAATAAATTATTTCTGGTTTTTTTAAATCTAATGAAATTTGTTTATGATATATAAGATCTAAAAAAATAGTTGATATATATGTTTTGTTTTGTTTTTTTTTTTAATTAAGATTTGAAAAGAAAACTTTGATATTTTTTTGACTTTATATTGATATTTAAGATTATTTGATTTATTAAATATAATTTGATTATTATAAAATTCTTTTGATATTTAAGATATCTAATATGATACATTATTGGTTAATAGTTTTGTATAGTTAATATTAGTTTTCTTTTTTCTGATCTTATTGTAAATTGTAAATTGTTTATTATTGTTATTATTATTTTTTATAACTTTTTACTTATTTTTTTTAAAAAAAATTAAACAAACAAATAAATATAATTAGGTTTTTAAAATAGAGCTATCCATTCTATTATTAGAAAGTATAAATCAACTTTTTTTTGAATATTTTTTAAATTTTTTGAAAATTATATATGTTTTGATATCTTTTTCTTAAGATTTCTAAAAAAACAAAATATGAATATATACTAGATTTTTTTTACTTGTTTCATTTTCTTACAAATTGCATGACTTGTCATGTAACTATCTAAACATTATATTGGTTTTAAACTTTTTTTTCTAATATAGTTTAAATAGATATCATTGGTAAGCTAGTATTTAACTCATATATTTTGAGAAATGTAGATTCTTTCTCATAGTTATATATATATAATAAAGAACTGATGTTTATCAACGTTAAAAAAAAAAAAAAAAAAAAATTATAAAAGACTTATTTATTAAAGTTGAAAACTTTCGAAAAAAAACTTTATATACTTCTGTTATATTGTTCTTTTGATCTTATACATTTTGATTGGCCGCAATAAGGGAAGTCACCTGACCAGTAATCTCGAGTAAAATTTCCGAATTATATATGAGTCACATGATCGATTCAGTAATTGACACGTAACAAATTTCACGAAATCGCGATAAATCTCGCGGAACCAATATTAGTAATAAATTTATTTAATTTTTTTGGCAAAATATTTTTAATAATGAAAATTACTATTTATAATACCACACGTACATCTCTTAACCAACTGTACTTGAGTAATGTCGGAAAGCAAAGAATATGAATATTTCGATCGTAAATCCTCGAAATGGGATATCATTGAGTTTCTGAACGAGTGTGACCTGGAACCATTTCAGAAGAAAATAGATTGCTACCTTAAATGTCTCGAAGCTATTTTCGCGAATGAACATGGTGTGAGGAAGGAAAAAGCAAAAAAGCTCATTGATAATTATAAATTGGCGAGTAAACTTTTATTTTTTTGTGAATGAGTGGGGGAGACTGTTGCAGAAACTTCAATGCTATGTAGAAGGTAGAAAATACTTTTTGTTGAAGTCCTACTCTGCTACTATCGTAGAACTTGTTTCTACTTTCGCAGAAGCTTTCAAAACAGTTTCAGTGGCGTGACACGAACCTACTTGGTTGCTTGTCATTCAAGGCTAATTGCCGAGCCACAAAGCCGGTGTCAGGGCACAAGTGACCTACTTGGTTGCCTGATGTTTAAAGGCTACTTGCCGATCTGATACTGGACCCACTGGGCACAGGTGACCTATTTGGTTGGCTGATGTTCTGGTGGGATAGGGAATTGGATTATTGGAGGTTTATTAGATCGAGAATGGTGCTAATTTCCTAAATTTTTCTAGGAACCCAAAACCGATCGTCGACGAGCAAGAAATTGGGATCAGGAACAATCACGAAAGCAAGTTTATGTTAACCAACCGATAGTTGCGACCGTTCATGGGAACGGGAATATAACCAATATAGGGGATGATAACGGCGGAAAAAATGTGTCTAGTAAAAGAGATAAAGAGGAGGTATAAAATTGATTTTTATCTAGAAGTTGAAAATTCGTGGAACCGATTATTTGACCATTTTACTCATTTAGGAAGATGAACTAAATCAAACAAAGCGAGTCAGATTTTATGAAAAGCCTCCAAAAAAGAAAACATCAGGAAAAAGGGTTGGTATATAATTTAAATTTTGTCTGCAAAAATAAATACATTTTACAGAAGGTAACGAGTTAATTTCTTTTAGGGAAGTATATTGCCTGATGGTACCAAACTTGAGAAAGCGATTCCACTGAAATTGATAGCATTGGATGATGACAATTCCTCCCAAGATGATGATGATTCTTCCAAAGTATATGAATCTGATCATGAAGATGGTTATAACAATGACGAGGAAGATGTCCCCCTTCCAGAAGAGTCTCTCGATTCCGTCCTTAACAATCCGAGAAGCTGGATCTTACCCTCAGGACAGAACGTTAGCGGAATTGTTACTGAGAATATATCTGCAAATGTGGTGGAAATTAAAAAGAAGAAAAGATTATCAGCCATAGAAAAAGCTACATTACGCTATGGTGCATCACGAATAATTGATTTATCAGCGCACATGAAAGAATGGTTCTCTCTTAAAGACAGAAGATTCATGATGAAGGATTACAAGTCTTTGTTGCAGGTTCCCGGCCTGAAAAACGAAGAAAGCTCCTTTGTCACAACTATTGAAAACGTACATGCATTGTTTTGAATTTGCTTGTTCAGTACACACAAATATGCATGCTGATTAATTTTTCTTATACAGATGGTAAATGAAAAAAGAATAAACGAAGCGTACGAATTCTGTGTTCAAAAATTTACTGGTTCTGATGTGAACAGCTATATACGCAAGATCAGCAAAATATATTTAGATTTGTTAGTACTTTATTATACTGTATATTTCTTTGATTCTTTATATTTGTGATTAATTCTGATAATTTGATGTTTATAGTATTTACAGAAGCGAGGATGGTGATGTATTGGATTCTGCACACACAGAGATTGACGTAATACTAAAAGCATGTTCATATATTGTTGAAGGGCTGAGGAAGTGTTTGGTAGTAAAACAAAGATGGTTAGTATAAATGAAATTTGATTGTTTTGTATTTCGAGTTACTTATGTTACAAATTTATATATTAAAATAAGGGGCGAGTCATTCTGCCCATTGAGCAAAAGTGCGGACTATAAAAAGGGTCGCAAGTGTGATGTGCGTTTCTTATCACCATCAGGAATAGACCTTGGAGAATGGGAGTTTGCGTCAATTTTAACATCACACAAGGCAATTAGCGACCGTTGTCGATCAACTCGAATTAATCAATCAATATTAAATGGTCTGTTGAATCGTAATCTGACCAATGTAGAGGTTAAAAAAATTATTGTCCCCTTTTTACAGATTGCAGGTACGAGTGGGCAGGTGTTAATCGAGATTTTAATTGAGGGTTTCTATGTTGTCTTTCCGGGTCCAAAGTTCGAGTTACCTACGAAGCTTCAACATATCGGAAAACTGAAGTTCGCTATAAACATTATCAAGTTTGTCATGGTAAACTTACAATTATATTCATTCAATGAAATCAAAAATATTTGTATAATTAATATATTTTAACATTTTACACAGGATATATATGAGCAAATAAGCGAAATTGTGGAAACTAAAGAAAGTACAAGTAGTGAATTTGACAGCATTTTCGGTAGTGATGATCTTGATATGAGTAAACCCACCCATTGTAATGCTGAACTTATTCATGAACCGTGGTGGACTCCTAAAAGTAACAAAACAAAAGTTACTGACAACAAATAGCAAAAATTTTTATGAGCTCGATTATATTTTTTCATCTCGCAATTCTATATTCATCACAAATTTGCAATTTTAATACTATTGAATAAATAATAAAGATTCTCACTTGCAAAATAATCGTTTCCGTTCAAAGTGTGGCACGTGATAATTCCCGAATTTTGATTGACTCTGCTAAATGAGACTGTCATTTCTCCGAAATACTTCGATGTAACAATTGACTTATCACATGTGTCTTTTCTCTGTAAATGAATTGCGGTTCAATCACGGCTGATAAAAATAAAAATTTTCCTATGTATTTATATGGATCACACTTCACGGCCCATCACGGGCTACATCATGCTCAATTTTATACATAATCGCGTTTGCTTTTGCATGTATATTTCAAGACTTTATTTATTATATGGACATCGATGTAATCAAGAATTTCGATTTCTGATTTTCCGGACCGCTGGTCTTGGAAATTTCTTATCATTAAGTTTTTTACATAGCATATATACAATATATACCTTGCAATATCGAAAATGGTGTTTATCTACATTTAAAAAAAAAAAAAGAATAATGTAATGAAACCAAAATATAATATTGAATAGAAAATATATAAAATCAATAAAACAATCTGAATTCACAGAATTTTCTTGTTTTGGATTTATTTTGAGAATATCTTATAAATTCTGTAAATTTTAATTTTAAAGAAAAAAATACTTATTTAAAAATAATTCTAGAAGAGTCATTAAATATATTTATTAATTGATTTTTTAAACCAAATATTTATTATAAATACTTATATTTATTATTATTTTTTTTAAGTAGGTAAACATCATCACTTTATTTATCGTAAAATTGTTTGAAATTTATACATTGAGAAAGTGACAACATCTCTTATATAACTTGCTAAGCTAATAAGTCTAATGCTAGCTTGCCTACAGAAACTATCTAA